TTCCCCCAACATGATGCCGTGTGTGGCAGACATGACGCTTGGCTTTGCTTTCTCAGAGTTCCATCTGCTACAGCGTCTATTTGTGCCCCTGGCCTCATCAGCTCAGGCTGAAGGCAGCCCTGGTCCTGGCCAGAGGGGCTTTGTGAAACAGAAATAGATGGCCTGGTGCAGGGGCCGAGCCTGGCCAGGACCTCGGCCCTGGGAGTTGTAAAGAAGACTGGCCTCTACCGTGAGCATCTGCACCAAGGTGTGCCCATGTGACTGTGTGCTTGGCATCTGCCCTGGCACGGGTGCATGGCCTGTCTGTGCTCAGTCTCCCCACCTATGGGGCCCAGGCTCACAGAGGTGTGAAAGAGGCAAGCACGGCGCAGGGGCCTCCGAGCCCAGCCAGCCTCGCTTTGATCCTGGGAGACTAACATCTTCCATTTTGTCTTCTGCCCAGGCCAACTGCGGGCCGTCCAGCGGCTGTGCTACTTCTACAGCACCGTCATGCCCAGCGAGGCCCAGTGTGTCATCTACCATGAGCTCCAGCTCTCCCTGGCCCGCAAGGTGGCCGACAAGGTGCTTGGGGGCAGCTCCTCGAGACCATCAGTAGGTCTACCTGTCCCTGGGCACTGAGTGGTAAGGGCTGGTTTTGCAGTGGTGGAGGTGGGGGCGGGCAAGGCAGAGAGGGGGGCACAGGGAAGCTGGCCCAGGGCCCCAGCAGCCCCGCTCCTTTTGATCATTTGGTTCCCTGGCATCAGATGTTTTGAGCTGGTGGGCCTGGGGTCGTCCCAGGGCTGCTGCTGGCCCGTGAGTCCCAGCTTGAGCCTCCCTTGTTGGGTCAAAGGTGAACTCCACCCCAGCAGAGGCAGTACATGCACTCTGGGCTGTTCTTCCTACTATGGTGGCTTTTGTCATCTGACCTCTGCCTGCCCTGAATCTTCACTACTGGCCTTCATCTGTCCCCATCCATCATTCATCCATTTTTTTTATCATCCATTCTTTTATCATCCATCTATTCACCCATCTATCCATCCATTCACCTATCCATCCACCCATCCATTCATCCTTCTATCATCTATCTGTTTACCTGCTCATCCTTCCTTCCATCCATCCATCCATCATCCATCCATCCATCCATTCTTCCATCATCTTCCCATACACCTGTGGGTCCTTCCATCCATCCATCTATCATCCATCCATCCATCCTTTCATCCTTCCATCATCCATCCATTCACCTGTTCGTCCATCCTTCCATCCATCCTTCCATCCATCTTTCCATTATCCATCCAACCATCTTCCATCCATCCATGATCCATCCATTCACCTATCCATCCATCCATCCATCCATCCATTCATTCATCATCCATCCTTTTATTCCATCCATCCATTCACCTGTTCATCCATCCCTCCATCCATTCTTCCATCCTTCCATCATCCATTCACCTGTTCATTCTGCCATCCATCCATCATCCATCCATCCATCCATCCATCATCCATCCATCCTTCCATCATTCATCCACTCGCCTGCTCATCCTTCCATCGATCCATCCATCCATCCATCCATCCATCCATCCTTCTATCATCCATCCATTCACCTGTTCATCCTTCCATTCACCTGTTCATCCTTCCATTCACCTGTTCATCCTTCCATTCATCCATCCATCATCCATCCATCCATCCATCCATTTGTCCGTCCATCATTCATCCATTCATTCAGCCACCATCCATCCACCTGTTCGTCCATTCATCCATCCATCCTTCCATCATCCATCCATTCACCTGTTCATCCTTCCATACATCCATCATCCATCCATCCATCCATCCATCTATCCATCCATCCATCCATCTATCCATCCATCCATCCATCTATCCATCCATCCATCCATCCATCTATCATCCATCTACCCTTCTAGCATCCATCCACTCACCTCTTGTTCATCCTTCCATCCATCCATTTATCCATTCATCCATCCATGCATCCTTCTATCATCCATCCATCTTTCCATCATTCATCCTTCCATCATCCATCCATTCATCTGTTCATCCTTCCATCCATCCTTCATCCATCCATCCATCCATTTATCCATCCATCCAGCCATCATCCATCCATCTGTCCATTCATCCATCCATCCTTTTATCATCCATCCTTTTATCATCCATCCATTCACCCGTGTATGTATCCATTCATCTGTTCATTCAACCATCCGTCCTTTCATCCTTCCATCAACCATCCATTCACCTGTTCATCTGTCCATCCTTCCATCCATTCACCTGTTCATCCTTCCGTCCATCCACCTGTTGATCCTTCCATCCATCCACCATTCATCCATCCACCATTCACCCATCAATCATTCATCCATCCATCCATTTATCCATTCATCCATATATCCATCTATCATCCATCCATCCTTCCATCAACCATCCACTCACCTCCTGTTCATCCTTACTTCCATCCATCATTCATCCATCTATCCATTCATCCATCCATCCTTCCATCATTCATCCATTCATCTGTTCGTCCATCCATCCATCCATCATCCATCCATCCATCCATCATGCATCCGTCCATCATCCATCCATCTGTCCATCCATCTGTCCATTCATCCGTCCATTCATCCGTCTGTCCATTCATCCATCTGTCCATTCATCCATCCTTTTATCCATCCATTCACCCGTCTATCCATCCATTCACCTGTTGTTCCATCCATCTGTCCATTCATCCTTCCATGATCCATCCATTCACCTGTTTATCCTTCCATCCATCCACATATCCATTTATCCATTCATCCATCCATCTATCATCCATCCATGCTTCCATCATCCATCCATCCACCTGTTCATCCTTCCATCCATCCATATCCATCCACCCATCCATTCATTCATCCATCCATCATCCATCCATCCTTCCATCATCCATCCTTTCTCCCATCCATCCATTCGCTGTTCGTCCATCCATCCATCATTCATCCATCCACCCACCAACCAATCTACCTATTAATCCATCCCTCCATTCATCTGTCAATTTATTTATCCATACATTCCTCTATCCACCATATATCCATCCATATGCACATACATCATCTACTCTCCACCCATCCATACATCATCTACCCACCCATACATACATACAGACAAACACACATCATTCCACCCATCCATCCATCCATCCGTCCGTTCGTCCGTCCATTCATCCGTCCGTCCGTCCATCCATCCATCCATCCATCCATCCCAGCATTAATCTATCCACACACCCGTCCATCCATCCATGTGTCTACATCTCCTCATCCATTCATCCGTCCATCCACTCATTCCTAAGCCACTGCTGAGCATCTGTTGTGTGCCTTTTCCCTCCCTCCAGTTGGTTCCCTCACATCCTCCCCCAGTGGCCAGCATCTTCTCCCTGAGGGCAGAGGCGCGGCCCCTCACAGTGCCCAGCACCTGCTGGTATACAGCACATGCTCAAATAATGTGACCACGCAGTTAACACACAGAAGAACTTACTCCAAGCGACACGTGGCACATCTCCTTACAAAATGAATCTATCATAGTGGCTGTTTTCAGAGGCTTTCCCAAACACAGTGTGATCTGGAACAAATTGTGAAGCCCACGAGCCTGGTGAAGATTTCATTATTGACCACTTGCTGTATACCTCCTTGAGCTGAGGAGAGGGATCAAGAGCTCATGGCCAAGAGGGGACCAGGCCCACACACAAACACTGTTGATGTGGCAGGGATGTGGCAACACAGAAAGGAGCCAGGGGATGGGCTCCCAGCAATCTGGGGGCCACGGAGACTGGTTTGAGTACAGGGGCAGTGGGCTAGGGCTAGCTCTGGTGGTAGGATTCACAGGTGACGGGCTCCTGGGCTGCAGCTGCTCAGTCATCTCCTGGCACTCAGTTGCATCAGTTCATTGTCCTCACGCCAGTGGTGGGGGCATCCCTAAAGCACAGGGTCTGCAAAATGCTCAGGTGTACTTGTAGTGTGTGAGAGGAAGGAGGCTGGCAAAGGTGGGCATGGCCACCTCACCAGATGTGGGTCTTGAGGGAACTTTTGTCTCCTTTCAGGTGGCACAGAATGTGGTCCTGTACACAGGTGACCCCAGCCTGGGGCTGGAGCTGTTTGAGGCAGCTGGAGACATCTTCTTCAATGGGGCCTGGGAGCGGGAGAAAGCCATGTCCTTCTACCGGGTGAGCTGGCCTGTGGGCTGATGTGGGTGGGCCTCAGGGGGGCACCTGGAGGACTGAGGAACAGGTGTGGCAGGGCAGAGGCCTCCCACCTGGAGGCAGGGCCACCCATGCACATGCTTAGTTTCCAAGTGGTCTCACCGGGAATGATACTGACCGTGCCCCTGCCTGGGACAAACGCTCGGGGCCTGGACGTGACAATGGCTCTACCCTTGTACCTGATGATCTCAAGCAACCATGAGCGGGAAGTCCTGTCCCCATCTTCCAGATGAGGAAACTGAGGCTCAGAGAGGCACAGGGACATGTCAAAGGGCACACAACATGTCAGTGGGAGGCCCAGGTCTGCTTGCACCCCGAACTGGGACGGCTTCTCCCTTCCTCTGAGCTCACGGCGTGGCTCAGCCCTGGGCACAGATAAATGTGGTGTTTTTAAAGCAGAGAGGAGTGCTGGCTCCCCCTAGTCAGACCCCTGGTGCCCAGGTGGGAGAGGCTGGTTTGAGGCTGCTGGGTGTAGCTGGATGGGCCTCAGATGACTCTTCAGCCCCCAACTTGGGTGTCTGAACTGTGTGTTATCCCAGAGCACAGAGCAGTGTGGAGGTGCAGGGGTATCTGGGGTGTGGGAAGCTCCAAGCACATGTTTGAGCTCTGAGGAGGGCCTTGGGCAAGGTGGGTTCTGTGGGAATCCTGAGCCACCTGCCTGTGTGGTAGGACTGGGTCCTGGCCCTGGCAGTGACTACGGGCAACCGCAGGGTGGAGCTGCAGCTACAGCTGTGCAACAAGCTGGTGGCACCTCTGGCCACACTGGAGAGGCCACAGGAGGGCTTGGAGTTTGCCTACGTGGCCCTAGTACTCAGCATCACTCTGGGTAAGTCCCCTAAGACCCCACCCTGCCAGGACCCACACTTTGCCAGAGCCCAGCCTCCAGGTCTGCAGGGCAGAAGCTGAAACAGCTGCTGGATTTTCCTGGTCTCCTGTCCAGGCAGGCAGATCTGCCCAACTGGCTTCCCCGTCTGGCCGTGGGGCACAGCCCGAGGTCTCTCACGCAGTGCAGAGCTCCCTGCCTGACTGAGCTCTGCTTCCTGTGCCTGTTCCCGCTGCTGACCACAAGGGCCGCCCAGTGTGCCCTCTGCCTTCCAGACATGCCAGGCATCTCGTTGGTCCCTGTATGTGCCAGGCTGAGTGGCACATTCCCTTTCTCTTGTGCCCTTCCCACCCTCATCAACCACATGGCTCTCTGGCTGATAAAATCCCAGTTCCCCTTCCAGCAGTCTGCCCCTTAAGGCCGGGCATCCCCTGGTGCTGTGCCAGGGTTGTCTGTCCCCCTCCAGCGACAGGGAACCCTAGGCAGGCCACATGCCCCAGCGCCTTGTGCCCCGTGGCCCAGTACACACTAGGTGTGCAGCTGACTCCCCAAGGTAGGGGGCTCTGATCCTGCCACACCCAGGAGGAGTCGGATGTCACGTCTGTGGGTTGCCTGGAGCCAGGGTGCCCGGGAGCACCTGGACTGCATGGCTTTTGGGCTCCCCTGGTTAAAACCAGTGAGCAAAGGCAGGTGGCTATGTGTAGGCACAGAGCACGGAGCTGGGCCATCCAAGTCCGACTTTGCCAAAGCCTCACAGTAGACAGGGGCAGGTCTTACTAATTCTGCTTTGCAGATAGGAAAATGAGTCTGGGAACCCGGAATGGACTGGCCAGAGCTGCCCAGTTGACCGCAGGTGCCTGGAGGCAAGCCAGGTGTGCTGCCCGGGGTCTGCATACCTGCTCCTGAGGGGCCTGTGCCCTCCCTGCCCCAGGAAGCCACGTCCTCACACCTGCCCCTTTGGCCTGCACCCCAGGGGACCAGCTGAACGAGCGCGTGGCCTACCACCGGCTGGCCGCCCTGCACCATCAGCTGGGCCATGGCAAGCTGGCGGAGCACTTCTACCTCAAGGCCCTGTAGCTCTGCAGCTCGCCGCTGGAGTTCAACGAGGAGACCCTCTACTACGTGAAGGTGAACCTGGTGCTCGGTGACATCATCTTCTACGACCTGAAGGTGGGTG